GGGTCGTATTATACATGAGATTGTATTATACACAAATAAATACGGTATTTTTTTTTTGTTTAGCAAAGGGCTAAAGGGCTATCCATCGGGCCCACCAATGAGCCCCCCCTCCAGATCCCCACCCCGTAAGAAAAGTGGGTGTCTGGACATTAAAAAAAGTTTATAATTCAAAAATTAAGAGCTCAGTTTTTGTTTTCTTTTTTGTTTAGCTCTGATGAAGGGTTATCCATTGGGCCCACCAATGAGCCCCCACATCYCCCGGACCCCCATTTTGAGTTCTGGTGCATTGGTGCTTTGCATACGTGTGGGGGCCATATATGCTACCGCTCTGCGGTATCTAGTTGGTATTAGTAATATTTTATACAACAAAACAAAAACAAGGATTTTGGGGTTTTTTTTCCCTCACATTTTTTTTTATTTGTCAAGTTGCTCTTTGGTAATTATAGTTTTTAATGACTGCAGACTCCCAGTGTTTCTTATACTAACATAAGGAAGCTAAAAGTCAAACATCAGCCAGTGTATGTTCTGTAAATGCTTGCTGTGGTACCAAATCCTGTAACAACTAAAATTACTTCAAATCTCCCCGTAGCATGGGTACTGGTAGTTACTTTGTATCTGTGTTTTCAGTTGGTCTAAGAGGTGATGGATCAGCAGTTTCTGAGTGAACTCTTCACAACAGTACAGTTCACAGTGATGTGCACTCCAGGTTCACTTAGACTGAACACATCAGCACCAGAACTACACATTTATACACTAAAACAATATGAGGTGAGCTTGTTGTAAACAGAATAAATGTTTCTGTTGGGCATCGCACTCGTTACCAACACCAGAGCTCCAAAATGTGTTGCAGCAGATCACCAGAACATGCAACACAACACACAATGAGCAAAACTGTCAAAACACACAACAYACGGTCAAAAGACACAAACTGTGAACTGTGCTCCTGCAGTTTCACACAGGCAAGCCAAGCATGTCAGATTTATGCGTCTCACACTGGCCACAATTTTTGTCTTCTTCCAACAGCAGAAGCAATTAGTGCTGACATTTGTTTTTGCGTCGACATTCCAAAGTTGACAAGTAGTTTCCCCCAAACTGAAAATGCAATAGCCATGTGTTTGCTCAGCGATTTCCCACGCTACCTTTTGCTTTCGCTGTTGCCTGCAACATTTAAAATCTATCTGCACACACCTTTCACACATATGTTCCAGCCTTTGTGCCATCTTTGGGTGAACACAGGCTGAAAAACACACGGTTGCTACGCACCGGSCTGTTGCACAGTGGAGTAGCAGCTTCACGCTTTTTTATTTTGACTCTGCAACATGTGATGAAATGTGGCACAAAACTGCAAACGGTCTGTGCCGACCAGACTCTCACGCAGGAACAGTATGAATCAGTTAT